CTCACAAGTTTAATGAATATGATATTTGTCTGTAAATGCACAGCTCCACTGCCAGTACTGACCACATCAAAAGCAGTGAAGACATGGCAGTAGTGGTGACTGGACTTGAGGTCTTTGGTGATGTAGGCAAATGTAGACAGATCCTCTGGATCCTGAGCTGCACATGAGATGTTACGAATCTCATGCTCTGCAATGATGTTCTGCAGAGCATGAGATAAGAGAAAAACAGAGCAGGACAGACAGAAGTGCAGAGAGAGGTTGTCGATTATTTCTACTGAACTGCTTCATGGAAAAACAGCAGATTTATTATTCAGCACATTTCACATCCCAAAACCATAATTACTGTAGCACAATTTTGGTTTGAGAGTTTTCTGGAGTCACTGAGTTTGTCCTCTGGAAATGTCACTGGAGGACACTCATACTGTGTGTGGTGTTAATTAAAGTACATCTCAGTGCAATAAATTATAAAACATCGAAGCTTGAAAAGGAACTTTTACTGAGGGCTAACATTAGGAAAACATTTAGGAAGGAAGCTGCTTTGTGCTACATGAAGGAGCTGGCAGGAACATTTTCCTGATACCTACAAACAACAACAGCTCTGCTTTCTCTTTCTGTTCTTCAAATACACATCTGGAAACAACAGTTAACACTCTCATAGTACAAATCAAAAATGACAGTGGGCAAAGAGCAGCTTTGGCAAATCATAGTAACACATCATCATATTTTGCTTTGGAATAAGAAAAGGAGATTTGTAAGGACTAAAAATGAAAAATGTGAAATATTGTGACAGATATTGGCCTGATTGTTTTTGTAAGGCGAGTGAGAAATCTGCTCCTTCAAGTTTTGTTTTCTTGTGACAGCAGATAAACTAACGAGAACATAGGGGAAATGTTACTACTTCTATGAAATGTCCCAGGTAAAGCCACTGTCCCTTTTTAAATTTACTTTGATTTTACTTTACTGCCCTTATGTTGTTTATAACTCATTGTGCATCACCACATTTGCAAAATCTGCATCTCAAAAACTATTGTGTGATGACTATGTTAGGGCATCTGATATCTGTGTTTTGTAAACATGCGAGAAGAAAAAGTTCATCTTACTAATCGGCAAAAACAGACACAGCGCTACTTGATTTAAAATAACATAATCACCAGATGTCATCAGTGACAGACAACTTTAATATGTGAATCTGTTGATGTATATTATCTATAACCTATAATTGAAAATGGACGACATAACTGAGTCCAATCTGTGCAGTCTGCTTTGTGCAGTGCTGCCTAAGCAGCAGCTTTGGACTCAGACGTACAATACTGACTCCCTTCATCTCCTGTTCTGAATGTGCTTTTGTGCATAACCACGGTCTACATACATATGTTATTGTTTTGCAAATGAGAGGCTTAGAATTATCTCACCTGTACTCAGTGTACAGAATTAGATCTTAGTCTTTCACACACGTACATGGCAATCAGTGCCTGACAGGAATAAATGGGACTCTTATGGTAGTTATCCTATAATTATTCCGCATTAAAAAAACCCACAATCATGTGTCTGTCAGCTGGACATGCCGATACACACTTGGAAGTGAAGTGATGATAAAGTGGGTGAAATTGATAATTGCAATATAACAATCTGGAAAGTTGTCTGAGCTTATTAAGTCTGAGCTTATTAAATACTGCATGAAGGACTCTGTGCCAGCCAGACCCGACACCTTTGAATGTCACTTGTGCTCATGACCTTTTATTTGATTTGCCTTTTTTACAGTAACGTCAGAGGAAGTGAGCTGTGAGTGTTACCTTATTTGTGGCATCGATGAACTTTACTCCTTTGTAGGACACAGAGAGTATGATGGTCGGCACCTTCTTCATCTGTTCTGTCGACTTCTTGGAATGCACAAAAAACAAAAGGTAGAGACAACAAGAGGAGAGAGGCAGCGATGACTTTTGGAGGCACCTCATACATAAATGACAATGTTTCTAGGAATTTTAATACTGAACTTTCAACACTTCACAACAGAAAATTACAATTAGTCCCAGATAAGTCAGTCTCAGTCAGCAGAGATCGCCACTAAATGTATTGACTTTTTAGTTTTATATTAGACTCATTTCATGTCTGGGACGCTGCCTCAGGTCTACAGGCATGTGAGGGGGGACAAAAACAGAACTTGAATGAATAAAGATAAATGAGTCTATTGATAATTCTCTCCTTGATTAGCAAAGTCAATTCAGATCATCTCCAAAGGTCAAAACAACTGCTTTTGCATTACATCTCTAAGCCCAACTGACTGCAGCGCTGCACATCCAGTAAGTCTATTAGCCTTTCAGCCACATCAGCTTTCTGCTGTAGCGCTCTCCTTATTCCTGTTAATTACACTTTAACATGTCTCAGTTACCTATATTTGAACTCATTATGCAGTGGGGGGTGTCAGTGTCACCATCTAAGCTGCTACCTGCCAAAAGCTTTACTATCTTCAAAGCCCTGTTCCTGCTTTCACCGTATCATTCCTGTTTTTCTTTGCTTGTCACCTCCTTCTCCCAGTATCCATAATTCTATCACAGTCTTATGTTTCTCTTTCCCCTGTCACATCTACTCACTGCTGTCCTTTCCATATCTGTATCTTTTCTTTGTTCTGCTCTCTCCTCCCTTCTTGTAGCGTGTTGCTGCTGCATTTCAGCTCTGTCAGGCTCAAGTAGTGCTGAAAAGCTGACAAAGCTTGACTCCAATGGCAGATCCCCAGCTAGAGGCTGCGAAGTTGGAATTTAAACATCCACATCTTCCTCCACAGCGGAGGGATGGAGGGACAGATGAAAGGAGAGATGTTGCCAGCAGGCATAAAGGGAAAGTATGTTCACACGGTAATAAAAGCCTGAATGGTACGATCCGCATCTCATTGCACTTAATTACAACCTTTTTGTGCAGCAAAGGTGTGTCAGACTGAGGAAGAGAAAACATGAAAAAGAAAGATGCTCTCTGATGTGACAACATAAATACAGAGACAGAAAAACAGAGGGAGGAGGGGGGAGGAACATAAAGGCTCATGAATATTAAAATTCATCTTCACACTGCAGCAGCTTGGGATGAGAGTGAGAGATATGAAGTAAGGGCCAGAGGGGAGAGGGAGTCAGTGTTACAGTAAAGTTTGGGTGAGCAGGAAGAAAAGACACGGATCTCGAGAGACAGAAAATGCCAGTGAGAGAAAGGGAAAGTGGAACGACACAAAGCAAGAGGATGAGATAAGGTGATCTGAGGTAAAAGGGGGATTTATCAAGCTACCTAGGCAAGGATATTAAAAATAAATCCCTCAATACACTTAATCCACCGTCATGATATTTTAAGTTTTTTTAAATTTCAGTGTGAGAGTGGTGACACTCAGGCTATGGGAAACTGTGTCCCAGTAGTTCCAATAGTACCAGATGCCCGAAACAACAAAAACGTGACCTAAGTTGTATGAAAACAGAATTATCCTTTAGGTCATGCTCATGTTAACTGGAGCTCTCATAGCTAAAGTGAAGTGTCTTAGACTGTGCCTACCCTCATTTTGGCGCAGGCGTCTTGTGTGGACTCCGTCCCTCTCAGCTCCTTCACCAGCATGGAGCCCAGGTACTGTGGAGGAAACAAACACATGATATATATGCAAATATGGTATACAGATGTGAGTCAGTGTACAGTTATGGCTGGATTCAAACACTGCAGCCATATTAACCCTTTGATCTCTGCCAGACACTCTGGCGGATCTGGTTTTACGATCTCAGCACTACTCAAACTTGGACAACTTGGTTTTCATTTCTAGTGGAGATCCCAACAGCAGCAGGTTTCACACTGGAGAAGCAGTTGTTGCATGATGATTTACAAACAGTACTGACTCAGGTGTGATTAGTTAGCAGATTACGATCAATGCTGAAATTCAAATTCCAGCTCCGGTTCACTCTCCTGTAATCAGTTCTACATATGACCGGAAATGGAAATGATGGACACATTGTCAGGGACAGTCATCTGTGGTCAACTCTGACTGATGAACTAGTCAGAGCCACCATCCTGCTGTTGATTGCTTCCTTCAGTGATCCTGAGGACAACACAGATGTCTCCTCCAGTAAGACTCCTGCCAAGGGCCCAGCTAGTGGCAGGCACATCATGTAATGCCTTGATTAGAATAAAATGGTCTGAGTCACCCTAGCAAATAATCAGCAAGCAATGCAGCAGCTGAGTGCTACACAAAGTCCTGATGAGGAAAACACTGATGTCTGGACCAGCACCACTCCTGTCCTGGTCCCGACACCACCGGATTCAGCATCATGGACAAATCCGTCCCGAGTACTTTCTTCCCAGACCTGTCCAGTTTACACCACGTCTAGATCACCAACCATCTCAGCCTGGAGTGTGTTTGTCTTAATGAAATAAACTGACAAACGAAGGCTGTGTTTACATTCAGTCGCACAAACATTGGGTTTCAATAAATGCAGTGATTACATCAACCCTGAGTCTGTCTGGACACATCTGTGGTCAGACATTTTGCACACATAGTACATGATTTAATAAAGAACCTGCTAATGGTGACAGTGTTTTACAGGGACAATGTTTCTGTCGACATTAGAGCACTTAATGGCTGTGACATTCACCACCTCACAGTGCCCTTCCAGCTTCCACAAGGGGACTTATTCCCTAATGCAGAGCCCTAAAAAAGGCTTTTAGTGAATTAGAAGAAAAATATTTACAGCTCTTTTTATCCCATTTTTGTGAATCTACAGTAAATGATTCAAAAAGACCAAAGCACCAATGTCCACCTTGATTAGCAAAACATTTCATCACAGAGGCAAAAACAACCTTTTGGGCAAATTGCTTCCTGTGATGAGTTACTGTTTATGCAGTGCAGACTGTGCCTCAGTCGCATTTTCAGATGGGGAGTCTGGTCTTTGGCAGATCAGACTCAAGCTAACAATGTTAAATCATTGTTATTGCAGGGTTTCTGGAGTTACAAGACCAGCTGCTGTCTTGTCTACGATGCCTCTGTGACAACAACACTAAAGTTTAAAGCCACACTAGCACCAAGGTTCATGGAAATCCAGCTAATAGCGAGTGAGATGTTTCTTTCACTGCATCAATATATATCTTATGGTGGCAGTGTAAGTTAGGGGATCATCAAAGTCGGGAGGCATCATCCTTTGGGGTCCACAAATGCCTGTGCTAAGGTTTGTGCTAACCCATCTTGTAGATTTAGTGAGGTTACACTGGATAAAAACTAATTCTGACCTCCCCGTAGCACTACATTAAAAGTCAGAGGATTACGGAAGTCAGTAGAATTCATCCTCTGGGTGCTACGAATCTCAGTACAAAATTTCATTCCATTCAATGGAGAATGTGAAGTTCACATCATGCCCTGTTGCATTTTGGGTAAATGCACCATGTTTGGCACATCGAACTCATTATCAATCACAGATTCATAATAAGCACTGCATAATTAAGAAAAATAAATGCTATCTCATACAGCTACATACAGTAGCGGATGCGTCGACTACGTCCAAACATCCACTTCAGTGTTCAGTTTGAAAACGGTTCATTTGCAGTGTCTCTGTCATCTGCAGACAGCTGCTAGCTAGCGTTAACTCCAGAACTGAGAGCTGAGATCAGTGCGCAGAGTCATTTTTCACTCTGTTGCACCTACAGACTGGATCTCTAGGTCCACTCCAAGTTAACTACTGAGGTGTAAATGGTTTAAGCAACTTTTTATCCCAACAAAACAAGAATGTATGCAGGTCAATACAGCGTGTAGCTCCAAAAATGGAGCCACTGTCACAAAATTCAACACAGTGTGACGTACTATCACATTCTCTATAGTTTGAGGTATTTCAGTATGAAAACAGTGGTGGATGGTCCAAGCATCACTACTATCCATAGAGCCATATATGTGTGTATCACTTTGAAGTAAGCAGAAACATAAACGAGAGTTTCTGTGGTATCTGAGCTTGAGTGGAGCTCTGTTAAAATTTTGTAATGATGCTGACATTTACACAAAATTGAGACAATGGTGCTCTTTTTACAAAGGGGGTATTTGTCCATAATCAACACTAGTCACTTGACTGATAGTTTTGAGAATGTTAAAGCTTTAAATATTGAACGTACAGAGCCACTGTTGAGATAACGGTGGCTGCTGTACTGTGGATTGTGGTAATGATGTTAGAATGTCTGCAGGGGTTTATGGGAAATGGATTTGTAATTATAATTTCAGATAACATTTCCGAACTCTGATTGTAAAGCCAACATAATGAAGTTAAGATGTCATCTGAGGTCATGCTGAAACTGCAGGAGAGGGTTTTTGCTTATTTTAGAGCCAGAGATGAAAATGAGAACAGTGCTGAAGCATCTTTTATTCTGTGCTTTTGGCTTATTACTGTCCCTCTCTCTATTAGCACAAACATAATATACATCCCTTGTTCTCCTCTCGCTCTCATCAGTGTCAACTCCTTTTCACTTATTCTTATTCACCCTCCATCTCGCTTCAGTGTGCCAATATTCACACTGAGCACTCTGCCTCCCCCTCTGTTGTGGCTCCTGCTCATTTATCTCACTTGCTGCGCTTTCGGGAGCCCCATGTCCCAGGACAGTGAGTCTTAGAGATGCTGTCATAAACAACTCCATGAAAGCACCTCCACATTTTCCCTTAGTGGTTCACCCGTCTAGTGCTCGCCCATCTGCCCCAAACACATTGCCTGTGTAGTTGTACATCTGTCCAAGGCCTAATGGTCGACTCTGTTGTGATCAATCTTCTGAGGTGAGAAACAGAGAAGGGTAGATTTTAACTGCACCTCTTATTCACTGTCTCATATTTTCTTGCTTTCATATGTGACTACAGCATCAAATTTGATTTCTCATCTCCCCATTCTGTTCGTAATAGTCTAGCTCATATCTATTGTCTTCACTGCAGTGCCTCAGAACCACTCGCATGTATTTCTAAGATACCCATTTGTATTCCCTCTCATGTTTCTCAGAGACAATGATATGTCAGATTGCTTTTCTGCAGTGTTGTACCTTCTCTAAGAAAGTAATCATACACATTATGTGCACGAGTTTCAATCATGGACACGTAACTAATCAGAGGTGTATCCGTGGTAACGTGGGCTTATAACATCCTTTATGTAACTGGCAAAGGTCTAAATTTACCGTGGTGTTGAGAATAACTGAAATAACTGAGTGTGGTGTTGACTCAAAGGTGAAGCGGAGTGTCATATTATCTTTGGTGTGCATCGACAGCATGCATTTAGAGCTGAACATTAATTACAACAATCATTTTGATAGTCAATTATCTGTTTATGTTGGGGGGGGTAGCAAAAATTCCAAAACCATACCGATTCTGGCTTCTCAAATGAGATTGTTTGGACCTCACACCTCTTCCTGAGATTTGCACTGAGCTGCACCTTATAATGTTACTACACTCTTGCTGCTAACATGCTGCTGACCTACCTGATTAGGTCCCATACATCCCTTTTTATTTGTTCATATTTTTATATTTTTATATTTAGATTAAAATCAAGGACCGTGACGTCGCCCGGCATGGCGCAGCTGGGGCCCCACCCTGGAGCCAGGCCCGGGGTTGGGGCTCGAATGCGAGCGCCCGGTGGTCGGGCCTCCCCTCACAGGGCCCGGCCGGGCTTAGCCCGAACGAGCGACGTGGGGACGTCCTCCTGTGGGCCCAC